CTGCCTCTCAAAAGTACTATAACAAATTAAGATGATTTGATGGTGCTGCAATATGTAAACATATTCAAGAGTTTGTATTGCTTTTAGCCAAGCACAAACCATCACATTATTTCAGAAGAGAGAAATATTCAAAACCCAAAAAGTTAAATCTCTGCTGATTGCTTCCCTGTGGTTTAATTAGTGAGGAAAGGCAGTAAGGCATCACAAAATTTCCATTTTAGTTTTACTGTTCCCCACAGTCAATATTTTATGCCTTTGTTTTTATTTCTAGGTTCCAGGGACACAGGAAGACAGGGCATAAATTTCTAAAACAAAACTTAACTAAAATATTAAGTGCATCACAGGAATCAGACCTGCACATGAAAATATATTAGACTCACAGCTCAATAAAAGAAGGAAACCCTCCAGTTGTCCTCTGTCATTAGTCCTGTGCCTTACCACAAAAGAACTAAATCATTACAGTGCCAGAAGCTGTGCTAAGCTACAGTGAATACAGGTTTCTATTGGAGAATTCCATGTGAAGATGTTAACAAAGCAATCATAAGCAACCAATGCCTAAGATCAATGAAATAAAACAAGAAACACACTATGGCTAAAAAAAATAAAAATCAACTTTTCATCAGCTTTACATTGCATCTTGACTTCTATAACTTGTTCCCATTTGTTAACCAAAGGGCAGAACTTACTGCATACTCAGCCTGCATGACAGACATCTTTAATGAAAAAGTTATCTGCATGTGAAATAGCTAAAATAATCTTTTTAATAGTTTGATTGGTCTCCATGTGCCAATTAGTCTTCAGAAAATTCTAGTTCTGTTGCAAACATGGTTTGATATTATTTACACTTTATATAATTATGTTTTTTGACCACCCACTTCCCTTTTTTCCTTGTTCTTGAATTCAGAAACCTGGGAGAACGTGTCAAACTCATGAAACTGCTCTGTATTCTCACAAAAAAAGATTCTAAGTAAAATTTTCACCACCCTGCCCTTACATTGTTGAAATGGGCCTTAATACAGGTAACTGAAATGTAGAAAATATGATGCACAGTGCTGCCAGAAAACAGGGTGTAAGGTTAGCACAAACTTTCCAGTCTTCTCTGCTTAACTGGAATTGGAATTATGCTCTCAGTTCTCCCCATTACAGCTGTTATTTGGCACAAAAAAGACCAATATCCCAACAATTCTTTATCTTACACAAATTAGTACTTCTCTCGCATATCTGGTACTACCTGGTGTGAACACTTCTATTTTACCACTACTGTGGCTTCCATTTAAGAGACCTCAAATATCCAGGTATTATTTTCTGGGCCAATTTCTTAGTAATGCATTTAGAAACTTAAATAAACCTGTAAGAGATGATGAAGCTGATCAAAATGATCAAGGCCACTGGGTGCATCATGCTGGACTATGGATAACAGACGTTATTGGGATCCTCTGCTTGTGTGTCTTGTGGTCATGCAAATAACTTCCCATATTCTCACTGTGAGGTCCAGAAAGCTTCACATGAGAGTTGCAAATGTAAAAAAGAGGCTTTGAGGATTCTGTTGCCAGAAGTGAACAGTTGCACCCCAGACCACAAGAGAAACCACCTATTTTCAGCATTCTGTATAAAGCCATGCTATGTGTGTCTCAGGAAAGTTTCCCAACAATTATATAAAGAAAAAAAATAAGGGAAGAAACAAACATAAAAAAATTAACAGTATTCAAAAAGTAAACTTAAGAAAGCTAAAGACTGAAAACTTACTAACATCAGATATATATTCTGCTGCACAGGCAAAGTCACACAGGGTGATCAGATATGCCAGAGTGACCAGGACAAATGCAAAATGGAAACTTTTTTTCTGAGTCTCAAAGAATTTCACCAGATCATAGAATCATAGAATCAGCTGGGTTGGAAAAGACCTCAGAGATCATCAAGTCCAACCCTACCATGGTTACTAGACCATGGCACTAAGTGCAACATCCAGTCTCATCTTGGAAACCTCCAGGGATGGTGAATCCACCACATCCCTGGGCAGATCATTATTCTGTTTTAAGTTTCACAAGTGAGTTGTAAGAATTCCCCTCTCCTCTTCCTCATAAACTGCAATCCCAGAAAAGGCTGGCAAATAGCCATAAGAGTCTCATATAAAACCTGGAATGTTGCTTGCATCCAATTTTTCCTTCCAAAACTGATTTATTCTCACCCTACCATGCAAACACATCCAGGCATCATAACAAGAGGACAAGCCAAACTGTGCTCATAAGATTCAGTTAGGCAAAGTAGTCATGGTTTCACGTTCCTGTATGTTCAGTCATCCAAAATTAGAGTGGATACATAAACTATCATTAGAAGAGTTCTGGAAAGTGGAGAGTACTAGAAATAAGTTTGCAGTTGTCTTACTGTTTTATACTCTTCATTCATTTCCATTCTCCATGGAACTCTTGGGTTCCATGATTCCCACAAGCCACAGAGCTAACATTTAATGTTTCAACACTGGAAATTGTTTATGGTTTCTTAACTCCAAAAATTGTGCAACAAACTAAGCAAGCAAGTAACCATAGAAACTGTGGTAGAGAAAAAAAAAGTTTTAGCTAGGAAACTGCAGTGTATTTTTAATTCTTGCAAATGTTATTGTCATGTTCTACATTTGAGAAAATAAAGTTTTACAGTAACTAGCACATATTTCTGCTATGTACTAAAAGACACTTCTTACTAACTGTGCCATGTTAAGTACTCCACTTCTTTCTTTTCTCCTCTCTCCCTTTATCACAGTGTCACACTTGCTTGTTAGCTTATGAGCACCTGTAGAACAAAATTTTAAAAGACGCCTCAAGGGAGTTGTCTAGTTACTTTTATCCAAGTAGATTCTGAGAGTCAGTTACATACATTTGCTGTCCTGTTAAAAACCTGCTTTTGAGGCACACTGTCCTTGAACTGGCTATGAAGCACTCATTTTCCCGATTCTAGGAACGTCTGTAGGAAGGCATTAAATAACAGTCCATCTGATTACAAACTACAGCCTGCACTGCTATATAATGCAGTTAAAGCAGCTCAGTGAAACAAGACTGAACTCCTGTTTGGAACTGAAATAATTTTAGGTACCCACATCCATCCCATGTGTGACAGATCCACATACCCAAAGGGAGTGTTACATTGAGTCCTGTACCACATTACAGACACTTTGCTTGTAACTATTGTTTCTTGATGATGGTAAGCAGTTACACTGGGAGTAATGAACACAGATAGAAACATCCAAAAGTTTTTCACTCAACTGCCTATTTCATCCCAATGTTGGTATTTTATGAAGACTTGAGGGATAAAACTTCCAAGAAGAAAAATAGCTCAAAACCATATGAAAATTCGTAATTCATCCACTTGGATTACCTGAGGACTTAAACAGAACAAAATTATTTGAGATAATTCGTACCTTTCATCAATACCGTGAAGATGTCTAAATGAAGGTGGCTACAATTGTCTTTTACAGAAAGATACTTATAAGGTGTAAGAAAAGGCTTTTACAACCCAAAATTTTCTGAGAGTAATGTGCTTTTATTTTTAATAGGAAGAATCCAATCCAAAAAACTGTTCCCAAATATTCAGCAAGATATCATGAAGCTATGCAGGCTTTTGGGGCCTTCTTATTTTGGTTTTGGAGGCTTTTTGGTTAAACAGAGATATGTGCACACAAGTTTCCAGTACTTCTGTAACACTCTGATGAGTAAATTTTAACTCAATCAAATAACACACCAATTCAACAGAATCCAAAAAGGTACAGATCAAATCTCCAGTCCTGTAAGTACATGACATCCACAGAATGAAAAAAATAGTCTAGATGAAGCCAGTTTTTCTCTGTTGACTTTGGCATAGAAATGCATCCTCTTGATTTGGGTAACAAAGGCCAAGACCACATGGTCCCTTAGGAAGCATCTCGTTGGAGAAACACTAGGACACACACCAAACTGCACAGAGCTACCAGCACACATAAACTGCCACAAACAGCAGGATTGCTGCACTGGACTAGTGGGAGGGGGCTACATCTCTGCAGCTCGCAGCACTTCATTTAGAAATATGTGCTTTGGCAATTTCACTTATCAATGCATTTTTATATTTGATACTTATTTATTATTGTATTAATAATGATGTTGTATTAATGCATTTTTATAAATTAAATCTGCAAAATACTTTAACCAAAACAACACGGAGCTAACAGTTTTATCAAGTGAAGGAACAAACCACCACGAATAAAAAGAAACTTGGACACAAGCCCAACATGCCAATTTAACTTTTATTCTCTTTCTACTAGCAGACTCTATTTTGAACAATTCTTCCTCAAAACCATGCAGATTTCACTGGTCAGTACATTTGCTACAACATCATTCAGGTACATTACTTAGATGATAAAAACACCTTCAAACACTGTACTTCAGAAGTAAAGACACTGGCGTACAGCTTTGACAAGATTCCAAAAGGTATGCATTAGTTTTAAACTGGCAAACATTGCTTATTTTTCTTTCCACAACCAAATTATAAACACTGTACCAAGGAGAAATCATGCACAGCCACAAATGCTTCATTAATTCAGGCATCATATTCATACTTTATCCTTACAATATTTTAATGTAGCTCAAGGGGTTGCATCTGAGACCATCTACTTAGTCACTGCAAGATTACGTACCTACAATAAATAATGGATCCACTAAGTCCTTGATAAGGTATTACCTTACAAATAACTGCCAATTCCAGTGACACATCCAAGACAACATTCCTTACAAACCTTATCACCACTCTACCCAAAGTTCACAAAGTCAACAGCAATTACTGAACATACAAAGAGTAAGAGCATACATATAGCCAAACCAGTATCTTAACACTCAAATTTCCACATAAATGTGTTGCACATATTAATCCACAAATTAACACAAAGTTTGATAAGGGTGTCACAGGTTGTGATATTAAATTTTGGCATCTCGTACATCAAATGGCAAGGATGAAACAGTCTTAACTTTACTTGCAAGTATGCAGAATTAACTGGAATGTTTAGAAGGGATAAGTAAAACATATCCCAACAGAAAAGTAAAATCACATTATAATTTTAATAACTAAACCATTCTTACTTCTGTAACATGTACCCCATACCAAACCTTTGCACACTGTCTTAACAAAGAACTGTTTTTTCCATGCTGACAAGTACAACTTTTATACGTGGGGAAGGTCTGAAGGAGTTTGCTTCTTGTAAGAATCACTCCTCCTCTCCAAGAAAATGACTGAAAATAACCTAGACTTTCTATTACGATACTGAAAGCTTAAACTACAGAGCTTAATGTAACCAGACTGACAAAGAATTCCAAGGAAGCTACAACTCATGGGCATACTCTGTTTCAACCTGGCTGCTTTTTACAGGATACTCTCTCTCTCTTCTCCAAAACCAGCCCCCTCTGAGGCTGCAACAGTGTGGAGCTCTGCTGAATCTTTTGACAGCCTGGTGTAACTCGAACGCTGGCTCCGCTTGTGGGCAGAGCTCTTCAGGTTCTCATTCTGAACCGCACTCGGATTGGAACCTGAGCCAGGGTGCAGGATAATTTGTGATGAATCTCTGATACCTTGTATTTCTTCAAAATTTTGATTAGCTCGGTTGCTTGGAGCACTGTTGTTATTTAGAGTGACTGTACTAGGGGTTCTGTTTAAGTTATAGACCTTCTGGCAAGCTGGCCAGTTCTCTTCTGGGCTGCTCGCTATCAGACTGCTTTCAGAAGGGCTCTTCTTGTCTTCTGAGCAGATGGACATGCGAACCACAGCTGGATCTTGAAGGCCACTCAGGCTGTGTGGAATTCCTCTCTTTGCACTGTGGCTGTCATCTTCAAGCTCAATAAGATTTGCCTTTTCAAGCTGCGAATCATCTGCTCCTTCATTATGGAGGGAATGATTTGGAGAACTTTCGTTGGATCTTACGCCAGAGTCAGACGAATCTTTCTTGTCCAAAAGGGCATCTGTCAAATACTCCTTTGCTTTGATGAAGGTTCTAATAGGTTCAGAACCATGTTCTGGAGATTTGGGCTGCTTCTCTATTTTGCTATCTGTTTTCTTATCTTTACCTTCCTTAAGAAGAGGAGTATTATCTGATTCCTCAGTTCCTGACTCATCTTCATCACTGGGAAGTTTCTGATATCGGAGAGTAACTCCCTTAAGCTTTAAATCTGCAGCCTGGAAAATACTTGTTCTTTCCGAAGACTTCTTTCCTGGGAGAAGTTTGGAACCAGACTGATCAGATTTTTCATCTTCTTCAGTAATAGGATCCAAAGGAGATGCATCGTTAGTAGAAACACCTGAAGTACTGTAATCGACAACATCATTCCTCTTCAGCAAGAAGGATTTTCTTCCATCATCTTGTTTCTGTTCACCATCTTTTCCTTTTTCCTGTTCTGCACTGGAGTGCAAGGAACCCCCTGATGTACTCTGGCCCATATAGAAAGCACTTGAGCTGTGAGGGGAGGACCTACCACTCACTGTAGTAGAATTGGCACCTCCTTCTAACTGTGACATTTGAGCAATATACTCTCTATATGCATCTCTGTACTCTGCCTGTACCTTGTCAGTAAGCTTTGATATTTCAATACTAGAATCTTGAGAGTTAAGACTTGAAAGACTTGGAGTTCTACGAGTTTGTGACTGAAAAGAAAACAGAGAGGGAACAGTTAAATTAAGCATTTCTTTTTACTTTTACAGATCTTCTTAAATGAAGTAACTCAGAGCATTAAGTATGTGCTTAAATTATTATTTTTGTTGCTGCAAATAGATTATGCAAGTGAAACTGTCAATGCTATAATTAAAATATGCTTACTGTAATCATGTATGTGCAATCACACACATTCACTAAACTTACAAAGTATTCTTATTGTTGGTCCCCATAATGAAAAATTTCTACAAAACAAGCATTTTATCCAGCGGATTTGAGGCTAACTCTTTTGAGTATATAATTACAAGAATTTAATTTGTATGTCAAGATGGGCCTTTCTAATACATTTTGCACATTCACAAAATTAGCATTTTGTATTAGAAAGACAGCACAAATTCATCCATTTCATATACCAAGTCAGAATACTATGATAAACAGAAGTCTTGCAAGACACCACCCTAAGCTAGATAAGAAAAGCACAATAGCTTTCATTTTTTGTCTCAAAGAGTGATTACTGTAACAGATGAATAGTTTTCAGATGGCAAAGCCTAAAGACTGACTCACAGAGTATGGTTAGAGTTTACATCTCTGCAAAACTAGTCTTTATCAAGACTGAGAACTGGAAGTATCTGAACTCTGCCAGCAGACTTATTTCTTGACCTGTCTGTATCCAAGAACAGAATAAACCTCTTTTCCACACAGGTAAGCAAGCAGAAGACATTTCTCTATTAAATACCTGCCAGCTTAAGTTACTATGGCGTGGGGGAGCTTCATCCAGGCCGATTGTGTTGAGTTCTTCAAAGCTGAAATTAAGTGTGTAAGGAGCTTGACCAGAAAGACCTGTCAGCTCAGTGTGAGGCAACTCGGTGTTATGCCCAGGACGGCGAGTAAGTTCATTGTGAGGCATGGCAGTCGTAACATGCTCAGCTGCTCCACGAGGATCTTCCTGAACAGTCTGATTTTCTGAACTTCTCATTTCAAGTACCTTAACACACAGAAAGAGACAGTCTAAATGTAATTATATAAAAGAAGTTCTCAAAATTGCTAATCAAGAATTCTATTAAGAATAGGAACAAGGAATTCACAACTGTAAAAGTGTAGCTGTGTATGTGGTTGTGACCATGGAACAGTACAAAGAAAAATCTATTCACGGATCTAGTGCATTCATTGTCTTTACTGCAAATCACATTTTAATATTTAATAATTTATTGTATTTACAAATTATTCTTATTACTGCTCAGACCCTTAAAAGAACGCATATACCACAAAAACACTTGAAGTCTTGTAAAACTATAAGTGATAAATTAAAAATTTTAAAAGCAAAACCAAACACTTCTTACCTAACAATAAATCTCATTGTGTAATTCTCAGTGTTTTCAAGACTGACTTAGCAGTTGAGAGACACACTGCTATTTTCAGAAAGAAAACTAGCAATAGTCTAAAAATACTGAAGAGAAAACAACACAGTTCTCTGTGATGCATAACCCTCACTGTAAAACTGTCATTTACTCTCAAACTGGGAGGAGGGAAATGGGGGAAATTAAATATCTATATGTATGCTTGATAATAGCATGCAATGCACATTCTTGTGTAATTCAAGTCAATTGAATACTGTACATTTATCTCATTGGCTCGATTTTTAACTGAAGTTCCTGTAAAAATTAGGCCTACGCAACTGAAGATGCCATGCTTCTCTGGCAGCCTGGCTGTCCAATTCCTTGCCCATATTATTACACATACATTGAATCCCTGACCAACTTTTAACAGAAGGACAGAGGCTTCAGAAAGAATTAAGTTCTGACCTTTTCATTAAAATAGGCAAATTTGAAAAGGGAACCCATACAGGAAAAAACAGGTCCTACAAAAAAAGGAGGCAAAACTCCAGAGTTCACAATCAACTGATGCAAATCCATAGGCAACCAGTTATTCATTACAGTACTCATGACAAAAAGACAAAAGAACTACATAATAAATGCATGCATGTTTTAAGACAACCCTTACAAACTTGAAGATGACAACCAGAACGCAACCGGAAAGCATAAGAGATTCATATTGAAAAGGACTAATCTATGATGACCTGAATACTGAACAAAAAGTCTTACCATGCTTCTGAACAGGTGCCAGTCACCAAAATTCATATTCATTTCTTTCTTCAGCTCATCAATGTTGCACTGAGCCAAGACACGGCCATTTATATTTGCCTGAAAAAATAAAACTAAATGGTATGAATTACCAATACAAGACTTATGGCATGGCAGTAACAGACTAAGAAGGTAATTAAAGTTGGATGGGGACTACTAGTGAAATTCCCCAATGGTACTCTGAAGTCCAATCCTATATAATAACCATGTGTCTTCATAGAAGTAAGTATATTTATTGATGATTGCTGATAGACAAGGGCCACCTATGTGTCATGGAAAAAAATTGAAACATTAAACCCACTAAAAATGTTTATACGAAAGGCAATATGATTGTATTCTATAAACAGACATAAGGAAACAACACGTAAGTAGTAGAAAATTTCAGGGACAACAAACCACATTAATCTGCCTAAATCTCTCCAACTCAGAACACAAACACAGACATCCAAGCATCTGAGGATAATCAGACAATGAAGTCCCAGGCATCATCTGATCCCTGGCTTGAGGCATCTAAGATCAAGTACTACCTCCATCAAGTTCCCTTCCTGCATAACACAGGATTACACTCCTGCCATCATCAGAAATACCCAGGGATAGAAGACTAGACGACTTTCTAATCTTCATCAACACAGAATTGCCTAAACAACATCTATATTCCATAAAGGTGATTCCTTACATTAGGCATGTTTATATAGTGCTTAACTTTCAAAAGCACCAAGATCAGTATAGAACCATTTCCATTACATAACAATGAGGTGTTTCTCTTTATACCGTGTATAAGTGGATGCACAGAATGTAAAAGAGGAACCATGTCTTAGTGGAGTAGCCAGAAAATGGTAAACCCAAGTTCAGAGCTCTGCTCAGACTGAGGGATCTCAGCACTTTTGTTCCCATATCCCAGCAGATGGTCTTAATCAAACCAAGAAAAAGCCCAGGCTGAGCCATTTTCATCCTTCTTTTAAACATGATATCACTTGTAAGAAATGCAAGAATATAAATAAGAGGAATCTCATTAGAGATAACTGATGAGCACATTCTTTTCACACTCTAGAGCGACGGAAGCAACTGAAATTTTTCGCAGCTACACTTAATGACCTGCAATCTAACATCCTACTTCTTGCTTTAAGCAACATTGCTGAGGCTTCCTATGATAAACCTGTCTCTTAATCCTCAAATCAACATCCTTCCTGCAGTTGTTAAGATATGACAGGTTCCGGAACAAAGCAAGCTCAGCAAAAACACTCACTAATGACTAATGACTAATATTTTTCCTTTCTTTATTAGTAAAAGGAGCACACAGAATGGTGAAAAAATGTAATAAAGCTAAAAATGATTCTGGGCCAATGTATCTATCAGAGAAAACAGCAGCAAGAGAAAAACATACAGTGGTCTTTTTCTGAAGCAAATAGATGTGCACTGTGATAAGAAAGAAATGGAACCATCTTCCCCACTCACAACAGAAGAGAAGTGCCAATTTCTTGCAGGGCAAAAGTAATGTTGCTACCTGCATATAGAACACATTTGCAACCCTTTTTATCATACATGGCAATTTTGAAAAACATTTTCTCACTTCTTTTCTCAAAATAACCAGTCTCATCAGCATTTATATTTCAGACTTTTTCCTTTTTGACAGAGAGCACTCTCTCTAAAAAATATATGCTTGTATTAAAATGTCCTGCTAACTTGGCATGCACAGAACTTAGGATGTTGTTTTGATGTTTGATGTGTTTCAATAAACATTTTCAAGAAAAGAGGCAACCAAATATTTCCTTTTCTTTGTGTATCTCCATGTTTAGGCAGTAAATACATGAATGAAATTCAGCTGATACCTTTTTTACAGTTGCAGAGTACTGAGGCAGCATGCTCTGGTCCAGACCATCTATCTGCTTTAGCTTCTCACACACAGCTTCCACACTCATTGTGCTCAGAGACGCATGAGATACTCCTGTGGTCGATCCTGTGCCTGTTCCTGCTCCCTGTAAGAAGTGAGAAAATGTGCACATGAGACTTGGTCAAACACTCAGCACGCCCAGAATTTCACAATACACACTAACACAAATCAAGCTGCGTTCAACTGCATTTTAAAATTAAGAGATGAGAATAAGAATGCACAGGCATTTTAATTACTATCAGAATATCTATATATTGGGAAACATTTACTATAGGTATTTATATGAGGAAAAAACCCAGCATCTCGAGTCCTGCCTCTGTGAGAAAATAACCTTCTTAAATAATGCGAAGAAAAGCAACATAAAAATCAGAAATATTAAGTAAGGGTTACTCAGTTTCAATGCACTCTCACTCATGAGTTTCTCCCTGATTTCACTAGTTAGTTTGGCTCTGGAATATTTTTTAAAATTTATTTTTTAGTTTTTTAAATAATGCAGATACAACTTAGATCTTCCTGTCTTAAAAACTCCTGATCTAGTATCAGACAAAGAACTCAATTACTTGGGAAACATTGGGTAATTTTAGCAACATCTGCCCATTTCCCAGAGGTTGCTTCGGCTCCATTTATGCAAGATCATCCAAGGGTTTGTATTCCACTGTACAGAAACACGGCAGCACTGCCACTGCTCTCCAAGATGCTATGAGGATGCTTCCTGTACCTCAAACTTTGCCAAGATTTAGGTAAAATTCTTTACAATTCAGCTCTGTAACATCGGAGTTGTCCTGCTAATGTTGCCAGCTTCTAGGAATTTCAAAGGAAGGGTGGAAAAACAAAACAGAGGCATCTGCTGGTAGTCAGTATACTAAGACACATTGTCCCTGGCTGGGGCCTGTACAGCAAAGTGCAAAGCTCTGAACAGTTACACCAACAATTCTATGTCCCTAAAAGCAAAACTCGAACCATTTCCATCAGCTAGAAAACACTAGTACTGTGATCTCCTCCTGGGAGGGAGGTTGCACCCTCCCTTTTTTCTGAAAATGAGGTTCTGGTTTCAGCACTGTAGACCATGCACCAAAAAGCTCAACTCAGGAGGCTGCAAAAGAGCTTCTAAAGCTTCAGAGCTCATCATCCCAGGTAAAAGTGCATTTTGACTATGCAGAGTTCAACTGCTCAAGTTTTATGGTAATCCTCAAGCCACCAGTGAGAACTGGTTTTACACTCACAATACTTCGCCCCCGTTTTTATTTAATTTCTTCAAAGTTATTTAATCTTTCAGAATTAATATAGATTAAGAGATCCAAATATATTGCTTATGAAAACCAAGAGAATGCCATTAAGATTATCTGAATTATCTAAACCAGGATATTTGCAGAGAAGTTATTTAACTACTAATTCCAAGGCAGCAATCCAAAGCCTCATTATATTTATTATTTAATTTTTAATA